GAATAAAAAACATTGTAGTCCTATTTGTGATTGTGGACTACCTTTTACTCATATTTAGGTAATTAAATCTTGATTGTTGACTTCAATAATTACAGAATAATATTTTGGACTTCTGCAATAGTGTAAAGTACAAATTGATTTTTTTGGGCTAGGCAAATAGAAGGCCGAAATACACATGGAATGCTTACTTGCTTCTACTCTATCTTTCTTACACACAAGCTACCTAATACTACTACTACTTAGGGGTGGACACGGTCCCGATCCCGGACTGGTTGGTCCTGGTCCGTGAATGGTGAAGCCCGGATCCGACCCGGATTTTACGAATCTGGTCCCGCATACTCGACCAGTCCTGGATCCGGTTAGATAAAAAAAGGGTTATAATGTTTTTACTTGGATTGAAATTTGATGGTCTGTTCTATTTAAGTCTGGTCTGGTATGGTGTGGTCTGAACTAGTCTGGTCTGGTCTCTGTGTATTTTATAACCACATAAATCTGGTCTAGTTTGTCTAAATCTGGTCTAGTATGAGCTGGGTCTGAAAATAGTCCAAACAAAAACATTTTACAGACACCTACCTAAATGTCATCCATATATAGCCGGATTACACACGAGATAGTCTCTACATGAGTAGTCGATAACATCATCCCTCAAGGCTTGTCGATGGACAAAGGACTATTTTGGATTTTTGTATCTCTATAAATTGTATCAAGATAGTAAACACTGGTAGATTGTATAGAAATTGACTTAAATAGGTGTCAAAATAATGTGCAGTACAAAAAATTGAAATATAAATACTTATGGTTTACTAATTTTGTTGGTCCACACTTGCATTTCCCACAATAAGATTTATATGTTAGTTTAGTCAATCCTCTTGATAATAATGGTGTCAAACCGGATAAGAAGACTGATGAAGAATGGACAAAAATGAATCAAAAAACTGTCGCACATATGTGTGTTCCACCATGTTGCTTAAGAACATAGTGTTTACACACTATGAGAGAAGCTTGGTAGCATGTATCAAGCAAAACCACCCGAGATAAGATGTTACTAATGAGACGATTAGTAAACCTCAAGTTACATGGTGGTATTTCGGTTTCAGAACACACGAGTCAGTTTCAGGATCTCGTGAATCAGTTGAGCACCACCGGTTGGGTTCTCAAAGATAAAAAAAACAAGTGATACTACACTTGAGCTCTCTACCTGACAACTGGGATTCGCTCCCAATGGCAAAGTGACTATGCAGATGGTCACAGATGCCTTGATGAATGAAGAAGCCCAAAGGAAAGAAGTCGGGATGGAACAATCATATGCCCTCGTATCATAGACTAACAGACAAGGGGTGGGGGCAGAAATGGAGGAAGAAGTCGAGGTAGAGGCCAAGGTCAAAATAAAGGAAATTCTCAAGTTCGCGGTAGATCACAAGAATGAGGTATTATCCTTTGAAAACAATAATTGATTTGAATAATATTGCAATTATTATGGTAATTATGGACATAGAAAAAAAGATTGTAGAAAGTTTCTACGAAAGCAGCCATAAACGAGTCAAAACACGAGCCAAGAAGATGGTGCGACTATGGTTAATTTTTCATCAGACGTCTTGCTTGTTACACATGGTGAACAAGAATGTTTACACGTAGATACTCATGATATTGAGTGGGTGGTCGATACACCCGCATCATTTCACGTCACTCCACAGCAAAACTTATTCACATCTTATAAATTTAGACACTTTGGAGCTCTGAAGACGGGAAACACCAGTTTCTCAAAGACTGTTGGCATTGGTGATGTGCACATAACAACCAATGTCGGATGCACACTTGTGTTGAAAGTTGTTTGACACGTTTTGGATCTCAGATTGAATCTTATCTTTGGTATATCTCTGGATCATCAAAGAATGTACTTGGAAGTTATCTAAAGGTTCCTTGATGAATGCAAGAGGTCATATTTGTGATATTCTTTATAAAATCCATGCAAAGTTGTGTTGTCCAAGTTTCAATGATGTTGAAGAAGAGACATCACCAAACTTGTGGCACCGGAGATTAGGCCACTTAAGCGTGAAGGGATTGACAACTTATGCTAAGAAGGAAGACATTTCCATGGGCAAAGGTGTTGTCCTAGATCCATGTGAGCACTGTCTATTCGAGAAACAACACAGAGTTTCCTTCAGTTCCACCAGAAAGAAGCATTCAGAGTTACTCAGTCTTGTCCACTCTGATGTATGTGGACCCATTGAAGAGGAGTCACATGGAGGAAGCATATATTTTGTGACATACATTGACGATGCATCACGAAAGGTATGAACTTACTATCTAAAAAGTAAGGACAAGTGCTTGATCATTTCAAATTATTTCCTGTCATGGTAGAAAAACAAACATGGACGAAGTTGAAGTGTCTACATTCAGATAATGGAGGAGAGTACATTTCCCTGAAATTCTCAGCATATCGCGCCGCATATGGAATCAGACATGAGAAGACAGTTCCACGAACTTCATAACACAATGATGTAGCCGAAAGAATGAACCGAACCATTGTGGAGAAAGTTCGTTGCATATTGAGTATGACTAAACTACCCAAGCCATTTTGGGGTGAGGTTGTGCTGATAGCTTGTTATCTTATAAACAGGTCACCTTCTATTCCTTTAAACTTTGAAGTGCCAAAGAAGAAATTGTTTAATTTGGAAGAGATGTTTCTTACTCACTTGAAAGTGTTCGGGTGCAAGGCGTCTACATATGTGTCTAAGGAGTTGAGCCGAAGCTTGATCTCAAGTCAAACCCATGCATCTTCATCGGCCATGGAGATGAAGAATTCGGATACCGGTTGTGGGATCCCGAAGTGAAGAAAGTTATACAAAGCAGAGATGTTGTATTTCATCCAAACGAGTTTCATGAGTGTGCTCCAATGATCCGCAAACAACATACTCCAGAATACGAAGTCCCTGTATCATCAAACATTCCTCTCAACGACAAGGAGATGCATGATATTGCCGAACAAGAGAGTGATGGTTCAATAGATGATGATGATGATGTTCACAGTAATGATATTCCCCAGCAAGATGAGCCTTCATCTGAAGTCGAATTTGAAGGTACTCATGTTCGATGTTCTATGCGAGGCATGGTTCCGTGCACAAAGACAATTCACCACATCCGAATGGACACTTGTTGCCGATGAAAAGGAGCTAGCGAGCATCGCACGAATGAGAGAAATAAATAAAAAGATGGAGGAGGGGGATTTGTAGGGATCTTCCACCTTCTTTCTTGGAAGCTGCAAAGAAACACCTTAACATGGAAGCGCTCTTGGAAAGAGCTCTCCAACAAATAGGTATGAGAGAAGATATGGAGAAGATGGAATCACTACCATGTCTCCAAACCAGGCCTATAAATAGAGTGTTCCTTGTTGTTCATAACATCAGTTTCTAAAGTGAGAAAAGTGTGTAAAGAGTGAAATACACTTAGAGTAAGAGTGTATTAGTGAGGATTGATTTTTTGTAATAGTTAAGTGTGAGAGTTTGCTCCTCCCAACAATGTGATTTATGAATAGTGTAAAGTGTGATTTATTGTAATTCTGTTCTTGATATTGAATAGAAGAATTTTCCAATCCCAACAATTTGATCATGAGTGAGTATGAGTGAGTTGCTACTGTGAAATATCCTGTATGATCGTTTAAGGTTTCAAGAGTTGTGTACAAATGAAAAAATGGCTATGAAACATAACTTTAAATTACAATTCAAGTGTTGGTTTCGATCACAATAACACTTAAATACTATGTAGGAGATTGTTGAGAAACATTTTTTTGAATAGTATGTTTCATCAATAAATGAACTTATGAAACAAGTTATCTTGTTCAATTAGAGTGTTTCTCTCCTATCTTCTAATTAATTAGTATTCACTATATAAACTTTGGATAAACTTTGTTTACAATTATTCTTTGTTTATCAGTATTCATTGTTTATAAACTTTGGATACAACTATTGTTTGCCATTGAGACAATAGCTCATGCGTAAGATCTTTTTCAAACTAACACCATAGAGAAGATATTTATTTATTTCAAACCTTAATTAATTGTTAGTTCTTAACATTATTTAATTTCAAACAAAACTTAACGAGTAATTTATTATATCAAGAGGTCACTAATAATTTTCAAAGCTAAAGCCTTACAAGTTCCACTAATGCTCTTTTAACTACCCATTTGTCTTGATGACTATGATATTAAGATGTAACAGATTACATCTTAATTGGATTTTTGTGTTTTTTTGTAGCATACCATAGTTTTTTACGATTTCTAAATAGATGGATAATTGAAGTTACTTGAATTGATATATGAGATTTTTATACTCCAATTAAGTATATGCAATGGAGAATTTATTATAATAAATGAGCAAGATTGATAGCCTACATTCATTTTTACTATTCTCTTTAATTTTCCATGGTTGTGAACATAAATATGTGCTTGAAATATGTCAAGCTTTCATAATTAAATTGTTTATTATTCAAGTAGCCAATATGAAAAGTAATATAATTAAAAAACTATAACCAAAATACAACACATTACTGTGAGATATCAATATTATAAAACCATCATACATATGGGGTAGCAAAAAAAAATTGGGCCCATGTCAACTAACTTTTTTACCGAACATTTAACTTTTTGTTGAAATTGCATACATTTCCGCTAATATAGCCAAATGATGTCTATTTCAACGTTTTATATTTCTGTACAGTCTGATTTGTTTTTGTTGGGATATGGCAATTTGTTTATAGCGGTGATATTCCAAATTAAGAGTATTATGTTCACCCTGTAAATAAGAGTATTTAGTGACAAACTTGAAAACTGATTTCAAGTATGACATTACTGATAATGCCAAAATATGATTTGAATTAATGGTAATTTCTATTTCAAGTATTTACTCTTATTTTAGAAAGAAAAATATGGAATTCCTATTTTTAATTATCATATTGTTTGTTTGTAGTTCTATTTTAAGAAATTTCTCTAGATCATATACTCAAGATGATAAAGAGTTTATGAATATAGAGATACACTACATAATGATAATAATATGTTTATATCAAAGTGTACAACACAAAAGTAAAAACGTTACTCTTAATAATACTTTTAAAATACGGAGTATTAAAGAGACACTAGATATGCATGTACGGTGCATGCTTACATGCATGTACCGTGCATGCTTACACGCATGCACACTACAAAAAAATTACGGGATTGACACAGATTTGACACGAAATTGACCGATGATTTTGTGTCAATAGATTGTGTCAAAATGCTTTTGGCACGAATTTGACATACCACTGCCAAATTCTCTATGAATTTTGGTAAATTTCTACCAAAAATCACTAACAATCCCGTGTTTTTTTTGTAGTGGCATGTTGGCACTGATCACCACAAGGAAGTGCTAACATTGCGTTGCTCCACCACCATGTCCATGCTAAAAGGGTCCCCATTGTGGTTAGAACGAGTGTGCCGAGAAGAAGACGGTGAGGCAGTTTCTTGTGAGTTCGAGGGTGAACCACCATTGGAGAGGGAAGAGAACTGTCTCATTCTCATACGCACCACTTGAGCTTGTGTAATTGCTAATTGTGTCTGAAGAACATCAACTTGTTGCTGCAGTGTTGAAATAGCCCCAACACAACCATACACCGGATCCATCATTCTTGCATTTGCCTCGTACACCATTGAGCTCACCGCATCACCTCGTTGGTGCTCTGGCAACTCCTATATCAATTAATCATGCAAATACACATATTAAAACTCAAGATTACTAATATATTGGTAAATTAAATCAAAATAGTGGTGTGCTACCTCTGTCTCAAGATGATAGTCTAGCTCAATTTATTATCACGTCAATCCCATTTACTTTTAGTATCCAATTTTATGTATCAATTAAGTTTCTTTCATATTAAAATTATACGAAGTATATTTTCTATTCACTAAAACTTTAATATAATTTCTAAATATATACTTTTTAATTGGACAAATTTTCTCAAATGGGTGTACTATTACTTTCTTCCCAAAGTAAGACTCAAGCACCCATATTTTAGAACTTTGCATATGTTTTACTTCTATTTTGAATAATTTCTTTTTTACTTACAATGATGTCACGAAGGAGTTCACTTTGTCATCGTTCAATCCTCAAAATCCGTAATGAGGCTATCAATTTGGGATGGGAAGAGTAACATGTTACAAAAACTAGTAGTGGCATTGATTAGTTTATGGTCTTGGACTTGATGTTTTAACTTATTGAACCCAATTTTCATGGTCTAGTCTGTTTAAGTATGGTCTGATATTATTTGTTTAAGTTTGACTTGCCATTGACCATTGTCTTATAAAAGTCTAGTGTGATACGGTGTAAATTAGTGAAACTAGTCTGATCTATGTAAATTTAATCAGATTCGGTCTTATTTAACGCTGATATAAGTTCTTGTGAAATTTATTATGGTTTAGAATCTCAACTATAAATACTTGATTAGTACCAACAATTTTTAGTGCATTTACTCTTTGATCCACCATCGTGGTACAAAATACTTTTTTTTTGACAAAAGAAGGTTTTATTGTTTTAAGGCATATGAAAGTACAAATGCTTATGGAAGATAGTCGCTAATGAGAGATTACATTATATGTGTCGGTTGAATAGCACGCTAAGTCTTGGAAAGAAAACAATATATGATGCTCTCTCTTTTTATGTGGAAGAAGAGAAAGTATAGAAATGTCAAATGTCCTAAATAAATTAAGAAATTAACCTAAATAGGAGTAAAACATAAGATAAGTTCTTAAATAGGAGTTTAAGTTTGTTATTCCTTCCTTAAATAGGAGTTACTGTTACTTATTTACCCTTCTTATCTATATTCACTCCAATACTACACGGATGTACACCCCCGCTCTCTCAACTCAACAGTTCCTGCATGCGCATCATCGACTCCTCTCCTGCCGAACCTGCACACCACAAGCATCTTATCCGACGCTCTGCTGCAATTCGCTCCAGCGCTCCGGCGAAGAGGCAGCCTTCTTCTCCGACGAGATGTCGTTATTCTCCCGTAATCTCCTCCTCCTCTTCCACATGTTTCTTCTTCTTCTCCTCCTTTTCTTCCTCCCCTCGCCCTTCTCATCTGCTTTTCTTCTCATGAAATCTTGTGATTCTCCATAAATCGTTTTTGTTTCCTTTTGAATTTGTAATTGAAAATTGATAGTTCCGGATCTGATGCTTTGGATTGTAAATTGCGAGACTGTACGATCTAGAGCATAAATTTTTAGATCTGAACTTTTTAATTTTTTATTCCTACTAATTTATTTTCAAAAATAAAATTATTTTTTCTAAGAAGTTTAAATCTGAAAATAGAAGCTCTAGAAATGTTATGGATTATTTATAGTGTTCCCATGATGGCATTAACACTAAAAGTAAGTTACTTATTTTTGCAGTGCCATTTTTTTACAGTGCCATTTTTTTTACAGTGACATATTTCTCCCCTTTAAAAAAAACAGTGCCATATTTTCAAAAATGCCATATTCACAAATAATGTCATTTTAATGTTACTACTACGTAATTTTTATCAAGTTGGCAACATCACTTTTGATTTTATAATTTTTCTTTTTTTTACAATATGGCATTCTTATTTATTTGTTAATGTCATAATTCAAATGAAAATGCCATTTTTCTTCAACTTGGAAATTAAAGTCATAATTATGAATCTCAAAGTCCCATGAATTTTTATACCAATTTTTTTAGTTTGGCACTATGTGTCCTTTTTGTTTTTATTTAGATGGCAATATTAAAATGGTAGTGTAATTAGTTTTGTACTAAATATTTTATTGTTGGAATGAACGTGTAATGCTTTTGATTGTTATTGGATTTCACTGGACTTCTAGTTGAATCGTTGGAGGAAACCCATCCGATTGTATTATGATTTCATTGGATTTCATCATACTTCTAGTTGAATCACTAAAGGAGATTGATGATAAAGGTGGTCTTGCCGGAGGATATGGCATCGCCGCCAGTCTCACCGGAGGAGACGGCGGCGGCGGCAGTGGCGGTACCGCCAGGGGATACAGCGGCGGCATGGGTCGTGGTGATGGCCTTTGCGCAAGGTGAGATGTCGATTGAGGCATCTGGAGAGTTTTGATGTAAATTCAAGTTTATAATCTGTATACGTACTACTCCGTATTTTCTTAAATGTATCATTAAGGGCATTTGGGTCAATTCAAGTCTATTTTACTCTTATGCGTGACTAATGAAACTTGGACTCCTATTTATGCACAAATGCATTGTTTTACTCCTATTGGGGTAATTTTTTGAAGGAGTACACTTTCTTAGGTTTTAATAAAATTTATGTATCTAAGATCGACTAAAAAGGGAAATTTGAAATTTCTAAGATATATTTTATATTTGTGGGTTTGTATCATTATTCTATTGTTTTCACGATAGTTTTCGATCATAATTCGACAAATGATTATTAATTAAAATATTGGGCATTAAAACATTAGATTTTAATGTCGGGTTAAAATATGGTACATTAAAATGGTAGTTTATTTCCAAATGCTATACAAATGCACGATATTAATGAACTACAATTTTATTAAACAAATTTTGGTGTTTTGAATATATAAAACTCCAATTTTACAGTGTTTTAAATATAAAACACAAGTATATTGGTGTTTGCAATTCAATATTATTTTTAATTAATGAGAAAATTTTCAATTTGATCCTCGTACTATCACGAAAAAGTCAATTAGGTCCACATACTTTAAAAACAACCAATCAAATCCCCAAACTTTTAAAAAAACATTCAATTGAGTCAATTAGTAGGTTAATTGTCATAATGTCGTCAACAGGTCATTTACTGACGTGGCTTACACATGGTCGTCCATGTGTACGCCACATCATCGGTAAATGGCTTACTAGGCTTCCACGTGTGCGCCACATCGGCAAAGTCACTGCTGACTTGGCTGCCACGTGTGTGCCACGTCAGCAGGTGACTTGTTGGTGTGGCGGATAACCTGCTAATGGATTCAATTGAAAGTTTTCACAAAGTTTGGAGATGTGATTAATTTTTTTAAAGTACAAGGATTTAGTTGACTTTTTCATGATAGTAGTAGAACCAAATTGATAATTTTCTCTTAATTAATCTAATTTTTAGATATATAATTTTTTTGTAATCACTAACTTGAAACTTGGTAAAATAATTTGGGATGGAGGAAGTAAATTATTGTTATTTCATGGAGCCATGTACACTTTTATAATAATAATAATAATAATAATAATAATAATAATAATAATAATAATTAAAGCGCTAGTAAGAAATTATTTATTGTGATGCTTTTGGCGATGTTCAAATTATATACATACGAAACTTTTGTATCATATTTTCATTATATTTTAATTCACTGCATTAATGCATATAATTCGGGTATTAGGGTTGAACCACATTTTACAACGATTTAACACATCCTAATCAATAAACATATTATGTATAGGTTACGAAATAGTTAAGGATGAATTTAATTGGATTGTAATTATGTGGGCTGGTCTGATCTGGTTTGTTTAAATCTGATCTGGTTTGGTCTGAACTGGTCTGATCTGATAGATGTTTGTTCTATGTATACTTTACAATTGTTAAAGTTGGATCTAGTCTGTCTAAATTTGGTCTGGTCATATATGAGACTGACTGAGCCAATCCAATTAAAGATATCCTAAATGTTGTAGCACAAAGATATCAATTATTTATTATATTGAATAAGCATTTACATCATTTAAGGAATTAAACAATGATAGTAAAAGTAAAGCTAATAATTGTTTTTAGTAGAAACTAATAAGAGAGGGTTACATCAACAATTTATAACTTAGTTTTACTATGTAAAACAATACATATGTAATATGTATAGCCAAAAAGGTATTGTTCCCCCAGGGCAAATGAAAAATTGAAAAACACTTTTTAAAAGTCAAACAAATTTCGGGATCATGTAACATGTTCCATTTTGAATGTAAATCACATTCTTATATGTTTCCCTTCTCGCGCAAATTACTAAAGATAAAATCTTGTGAAAAAAGAGGGAAACTGGGAACCTTAAGTAAATTCCTCTTTAAAATAAATCATCGATACATGTCTTTTGTAAGTTAATATTGAATAGCCAAATTCTATGTATTCTCTCTTTTTAGAGTAAATTCTATGTATCCTCAAAGTACTATTCTTACGAAAAACTAGAAAGTACATGGGTGCATTACATATTTTTTGATGAAATAATTACACATCGTTACCCTTCATTGTTTCTCCAAACAAAAGATAACATAATATGATTTCAACTAGGGCTGCACATCGGGCGGGTTGGGTCGGGTTTGCTATATTTTTTGGGCCTACCCGATTTGTTCGGGTTGGCTATTAACCAACCCGCGGTACGCAAAATAAGTTGGTAAACCATGCATGAACGGGTCGGGTAGGGTCGGGTATTGGGGGAAAATCACTTCGGGTTGCATCTTTCATGTGAGAAATTAATGTAACCAATTTAAAACTCGATTAACTTGTTTCCAAAACACACAAACAAATACAAGTACTGGTATCTTTTATAAGCAAAAACATTAGGTAATAGTATTAAAACATCCTTCCGTAAAGGAACTTCAGGAAACGTAAATATATAATAATCACCTAGTCAAAATGATAAATGTTTAATTATAATTCTAATATCATAAAGTCCTAGATAGAGCACATTGGTCTTAAATTGGAATTATCCAAGAAAACGTTGTAGCATAATAATAGTAAAATGAACTTCAATTCGGCCGAGTCGGGTACTATCGGGTTTGAGATTTTAATTCCGCAACCCTACCCATTAGGTGCGGGTTCAAACATATTTAACCCACGAATATTTTTAAAAATCAAATACCCGATTAAATAGGGTCGGGTAGGGTTGGGTCGGGCGGGTTATGCGGGTTCGGGTTATTTTTGTGCAGCCCTAATTTCAACCATATCCATTTACTGAGTAATTTGATACACGTTCAGTCAAGCATAATAAAAGTTTGGGAGAACTACCAAATAGGTCACTGAACTTACATAGAAAGTGCAAATCACCCTTTATATAGTAGGTTTTGTCCAGTCGTTGCCATTTGGGCGGTTCCCGGTGGATTTTTTTGATGAAATTTTTTGAGCATCTTATTCATTAAATCTAGTTCACTCATAAAGTCCAGAATAAGATGAGTGAACTATTTAAGGGGTGATTTGCACTTTTTATGTAAGTTCAATGGTTTATTTGGTAGTTCTCCCTTAAACTATTGTATTATACTTCATGTGTTCTTTAAAAGTTGCAACATTGAGGGTTTTGCACTATTCACATACCTTACTTTGACTATAATTTACTAATAATATATATAATCAAACTATTATGTATAAAATGTTACTACGTATTAAATTGAGTTAAAGGGTCAGATTGGTCCTTGAAATCGCATAAAAATGGTCAAATAAGTCCTTACTGTCCGGCCGTCGCCATTTGGGGCGGTTCCCGGTGGAATTTTTTGATGAATTTTTTTGAGCATCTTATTCATTAAGTCTAGTTTACTGATACCAAATTTCAGCTAAAACTTCAATCGAGAGGGAATTCAAATGAATTCTTAAAGATAATTGCGCTTTTAACTGCGCAGTTATCTTCAAGAATTCATTTGAATGTCTTACCGATTGAAGTTTTAGCTAAAATTTGGTATGTGTAAACTAGACTTAATGAATAAGATGCTAAAAAAATTCATCAAAAAATTCCACCGGGAACCGCCCCAAATGGCGACGGCCGGACAGAGCCTCCTATATAAGGACTTATTTGACCCTTTTTATGCAACTTCGGGGACCAATATGACCCTTTACTCTTATTAAATTTATATTAATGTAAATTTCTAAAACATTAACTCTTTTTAATGTTTACTAATATTTAATTAAATATATTTACACAGTATATTAATTGATGAATGATCGAAAAAATCAAATACCTGGAGCAACTTGTTGACATTGCTAGCACCAAAAACCTTGTGGACACAGGCAAACTTGTTCGGCTCGTCGGCCGGAAAATAAGGAGCGAAAATACAGCCGTGAGCGCACCTCCTTCTCAGCAGCTTGCATGCGGCGCATGGAGAAGCCGCCACGCCACATGTCCCGCCGCCCTTTCTCCCGCCGCCGCCGTTTTCCTTCATCTCTATTTAAAACTTATCTATAGCTTAATTACTTAGAGTATTATATGTGAAAAAAATCTTTCTCATGCATGCATGATCTACCTGAATGATTTTTAAACTTATCAGCTAGCTAATTAATAGCTACAAAATCGCAGTTAATCAAAGATAAAGGGAAATGCTAGCTCGCTTTCATTTGAAAAGTCGGGTATTAATTATATAGAAAATTTTAAATGTAAATCGGGTAGCTACTAGCTAGGTGTTGACAATTGCCAATTCTACAGTAGATCTTCATAAACAAATACTGTACGTGATGTTTTTGTAGGATAGCTTAATGTCGAATTCATGTCCCCTCTTTGTAGATTTGGGAGTATGGAAATGGTAGGTCTCGGATCCATTAGGTTCTTGTTAAAATTCCATTGAACCATATTAAAATTGATAGGTGTTAAATTCGTTTCGGTTCTAGTTAAAAATGTGGTTGTTAAATTCAGTTTGGTTCTAATTAAAATCAGTTCGGTTCTTACATTTTTTTCAGTTCCTTATAAAAATTTATTATCATATCATACTAAAATGAACACATTTTTCCTTCAGTTACGTAAAAAAAATGAAATTTTCAAAGCATTAAATTATGATCATTACATTACATATACGGAGTACTTGATATCCCAATGTTCAAATATCACAAAAAATCCAAGTGCAAACATTCAATTTAAACATAACAAAAACATACATGATTAAAACACGCATGAATTGTCAAGCAAAAAGGTTTAACAGCTCCAAGGTACAATCCAATAGAAGGTAGTTTCAACCCCAAAATAATATGAAATATTTTTCTACTAATAATGCACCATAAGTAATAAATTGATTGGTAATATTTGTAATTTATTATGAACAAATAACAATGTAATCAGCAGAATATTAATTCCTTTTTGGTGAACTCAAATAACAAATACAATAACAAACAAACAATAAATATACTTCCTCAAAAAACATAAAAGTGTACTAAGCTAGTAAAAAATAATTACTCGGATTGACCTTGTCCACAATATATAAGGTATATTATGCAAGACAATATTCCTGACAATAATTTTCTGCCCGAATCATTGTTTGGCCACCTCAATTTGAGATGCTTCCGAGTAGAATTTTTTGATGATATTTTGTGAGCATGTTCTACTTGAAGTTTAGATTATACTCACTAAATTACAGCTTAAAATTCAGCCGGGAAGTGAGTTAAATAAAATATTGAAAAATATTGAGTTTTTTAAATATATTTTGATGTAGTATTTTTCAATGATTTATTTAACTGACTTCCCAATTGAATTTTAAGCTCACATTTGGTGGACATAATCTACATTTCATGAAAAACAAACTCACAAAATTTCATCAAAAAATTCCACCTAGAAACACCTCAAATGAAGATTACACATCACTACAAGAAAAGTGCACATAGACTGCACATGGACCACAATTTTTTTTGCGATGGCAGCATAACTGTCGTTAAAAACACCATTAACCACACATTTTTTTATTTACCACGCACAAAACTGTGGTAAAAGCTTAGAGCCGACAGTTTTTAACCGTGGCCAATGTTTTTACCACAGCTGTTGTGCCAACGCACGTAAAACTGTCGCAAAACTGTCGTAAAAACATAAGGAGGGTCATTTACGACAGTTTTGCGTCAGTTTTGCGTGCGTCGCCACAACAGCCGTGGTAAATACATTGGCCACGGTTAAAAACTGTCGCCTCTGACCTTTTACCACAGTTTTGTGTGTGGTAAACAAAAAAAAGTGTGGTTAATGGGGTTTTTAATGACAGTTATGCGGCCATCGCAAAAAAAATTTGGTCTAAGTGTGGTCTATGTTCACTTTTCTTGTAGTGCATGCAATGTATAAGAAGTTCGGTTCTTGTCTAGGAACTGGAACCGAACTAGAACCGAACCGGAACCGAACCGATCAAATACTATAGGAACCGAACCAAAAAAAGATGAAGTCCAAAATAATAGGAACCGAACCGAATCGGAAAATTCGGTTAAGTTCGGATCGGTTTGCCTGGTTTTACGATTCTAACTTCTAAGTCCCAGGCCTAGGAAATGGTTTTAATTAAACAATTAATTCGAGTATGTTTGCAAAAATTTAAAAGAAATGATTTTCAGCTGAAAAGAGTGTTTTCAAACTACAACTTCTGCTTGAATTAAACACTTAAAAACCAAAAACTAAAATATGCTTTAATTTTTTTTTCTAATACACAAAAGTACATATTTTACCAAAATACTACCAACTTTTACTTTTCAAAATCAATTTTTTCTCACACACTACCAACTTTTACTATTAACCATTTTTTCCAAAATCACTATTAGAAGTGTTTTTTTTAAATCAAAAGCATTTACAAACACTCTCTTAATGTATGCTGTGAAAATGTCACTTACATACTAGTAATATACTACTGTTAAAATGGAAACCAGGTATGGTTGGAGATCTTAGCTAGATATATATTACGAGACAACTATAAAATGCTTCAATATATCTTATTAAAGTATATTTTTGACAGACTTAAAATTAAGGAAATTATTCCAAATAGAACTAAAATATTGACAAAATGCATAAATAGGAGTAAGTATATTATATTTCCAAAATAGTACTTAATTGATTCTATTAAAAGTATAAAAATTATTCAATTAGGATTGAATGAGTTCTATTTTAGGAAAAATATTGATAATCATATTAGTATACTTTATCTATGTTTTTCGTCTTATTTTTACTTTCAATTCCATGTGGAGATTTTTTTATTTGATCTATATAATATATGTATATTAATCTATGTAGGGTATATATGGTTAAAATGAAATGGGTGTTTCCAACTTCCTTTGACTTTTTATTGGACTTTTTCATTTAATTTGTTGCTTTTAGTTTGACCAAAATGTTTTTTAATTAATTAATATTGTAAATGGAAAAAATCAATGACTTTCATCCATGGCGTGTAATTTATTGGGTAGACCAACACATGTGTTTGGAACATTCAGAATGGTATACTTCGTAAATGCGAAGGAGAAAGAAAACTAACGAAATGATTTCCTTTACTTTCAACCTCAACTATATATGATAAATATTTATAAATATATTTAATTTGAGAAATTATCTACCGGGTTCAAAAAGAATTGAGAAAACATCTAAAGTTACGTTGTTTTAATGAGTTTAAACCAACTTTAATTTTTTCTCCAACGAACATTTTTTGCTTTCCAACTGGTCCGTTGGTATCAATAATTATAGTTGATTGTATTACTATATAATATACTCATGTGAAACTTCAACATCATATCCATTCTCAAGATATATTTCGTCTGAATTATGTCATCATTCATTTTTTTTATCGATTCGTCATTGTTATTTTTATAATCATTATCATTTTTCATAGAGTCCACACTATAATTATGGATCGATTTAACTATGATATCATGCTAAGACTCATGATTTCATCCTAGAAGATTTGATAAGAGGAGTGGTCCAACATTTTAATATAGTTATATAACGCTTTATTAGTATCGTATTTCGTAATTTACCATTGTGAGACTTCAACAACAACTAACCACATGAATAACTTCAATTCTAGGAGATTGGTGGAGACACATTGTCTAATATCAATAAGTAAGAACATGCTTATTTGAAATGATATTTGATGATTTTATCTGATTGAACTTGTGTGATCTTGAATAAGTAACATGAATCGCTAACTATGAAACAAGTTTAATGCAACTATTACTGATCATATAGATCTTTATGCGTATCACCATATCAAACCTGGCCAAAATTTCAGTCACTATCACCAACTTAGCAGCACATTCTTTAACAAAAAATAGACAACAAAATAAAATGTGTAATAAAAATAAAACTAGAAAATACCGTATAAAACTTTCGATAGAATTGAAGCTCCACACAACCTCTAACAAATATATCATCTCCTCCATGACAGCCTTTCTTACGAACTATGCTATTTGAATTAGTAATTAGTCGATCATGACCAATTTATTGTAACATATAATCTTCTTCAATTTTTTATTCCATATTTGTTACTCCCACTTTTGTTATATTTGTCTGATTCCTTTTTGTGAATTCTTTTTTTTTTTGTTTCATTCATTTTTAATTTTGACAACTTCCACCTTAATTTTTTATATTCCATTCTTCTTCTTTTACTTTTTTCGTTTTCTTTTGTATTATTTCTTTTCTTCTTTCCCATTCTTTCATACTATTTGTACTTTTTGTTTAATGTTTTATACCTTTTCTATATGATGCATAACCCTATTTTTTCTGAATCTCCATAAAAAGCTATTGGGACAAATAAGAAAACGGAATTAGCCGATTTTATAATACGTATTAAATTAGTAAACCATCGTAAAATAAAAGTAACAGAAAGTATATGTGTATATAATCTATTTAATTTGGCTCTACGTGTATGTATATTTTTATGCATGTCAAATTTAAATATAATTTGGGCAACCATTGTAATTTTGTTGAACTGTTCTCCGTGAGTTTTAATCGTTTGCAATTTTTCTCTTAATGTCATAGTGACAAAATCTAGCACTTAACCCAATAAATTATTTTTTTGTCAATAGTCCAAAAAATGAACTTTAAAGTTCAATTTTAACTCTTTGATGTTCAGCTAAATTTTAAGTTGCACGTGTCAAAAACATAACCATAACGTGCACTGATTTATAGAGCACTCAATAAGGAAGAATGCTACAGGAGAAAAATCAAATTTTAACTTTGAACAATGGTAAGTCAACTACATTTTAACCATCAAGTATTTGATCTCTAGGAACAAATTGAAAGTAAATAAACTAACAAGCACGTGAACGTTTAAAAAACGAAACACAATGTCTCATTCTCACTTTTTGCGGACTAATTGTAACTAAACACACTAAATACAATGATGGTAACCTTCATTAATTTTGTCTTGTATATGTTATTGGAAAAATCTTAGTTTATTTGGTCCCTTAATTGCTTAAGATCATGTGAGTTGTACTTAATAAGAGTTTGCAAATGTTGAGGTAATTGATTAAGAGCATCTCCAATGCTAAAACGTTAACGGTGCATACGTGGCATGAGAAATAACCAATTAAAAAATAATAAATACAATATCTCTCTCCTTCTTTCCACGGTCTTATGTGTTTATGGTAAGTTTTTGTCTGCAATGTCAATC